TTTTTCTGCTTCATCTCTATTTCCATTCTAATCCATGTTTTTTCTTTTAAACTCCTTTTATGTTTGCCTTCGTTTTAAAACGATTTGAGTTTTGAATTATTCGTATTCTGCATAGCTTTGCAATTGTAATAGTTAAAATCGTAGGCATATGCGGTATTTTGTAAAGAAGATGGACGTCGATATGCTGTAAAACGTGCTTTGGATGCATTCCGTAGCTCTGCGGATCGTAATTTGAAGCTGCGTGAAGTTCAAAAGCATGAGCTTTTGCCATCACATATCAATTTGGTGCAATTCTGCAAAGCTTGGGAAGAAAAGTGAGACAATTTCTTTGATCTTAGAATCATTGTTTTAAGTCCTTGCTTCTAGCGGTCGTCTTTATATACTGACTGAATTGTGCGAAAGAAGTTTGCTGGATTATTGCTCCGAAATACATACTGTCCCAGAAAAAGAAATTTGGAATATATTCATTGATATCTTAAGGGTTAGTTATCCTATTTTTTCTATATGCTTGAAACTGCCCCAAAAAATCAAGAAAGAATTTGGATAGAGCAATTTTAGGCTGTTGATCATCTTCATCGTCATGATTTGCTCCATGTCGACATCAAACCGGAGAATATATTCCTTACCAAAGATAAGGTTTGCAAGCTGGGCGACTTCGGGCTCATCTTTGATTTGAAAAATGTTAGTTTCATTCTTTTACCTTGTATCAGAATCTACTCGATACTTACTCCTTTCTGTCTTTGCATTTTACAATGAGCAAAATGTCTTTTCATGTAGAAGGAAAACGTTTTGTTATAATTCGTAGAGAGTTTGAGTCAGCGCAGACCCGGCTACATGCGTCGGCAGATCAAGCACCGTTTTCGCTTTATTCTAGGATACTTCTTACATTCCTGAAGAAGGCGATGCAAAGTACCTTGCCCCGGAAGTTCTAAATGCTGCACCAACGAAGGCTGCCGATGTGTTCAGCATTGGAATAACCATCCTCGAAGTTACCACGGACTTAGATTTGCCCTCCAGAGGAGATACGTGGCACCAAATTCGTAGCGGAGACATCCCAGATAGATTTTTTATGGGTAAGTTGAGATCCATCTTTTTAATTCTTCTTTTACTAAATTGGAGTTTTAGGTGTTTCAAAAGATCTCACGCGTCTCATCAAATGGCTAATGTCACCTGATCCGGCGGCTCGTCCCACCACAGCTCAGGCCTTGTCCGATACAGCGATTGCTAGCAGAGCATCGCTGCGATCATGCTACTTAGCCTACCATCAAGCGGTACTTCAAAGTAGTCTTGGCTTTGTTGATAATAATTTATCTGTCGCTTTAGATGAGTTTGATCACTGACCATTCGAACACCATTCTAATGTGGGTCGTCGCACTGATCCATTTGCTGGCAATTCCATTTTTAATGTTTTTCGATGCGCTCAGGAAGAAGAAGAACGACGTATGCACTACGCCATACAAAGGAGCTACGCTATTTGGGGTGCGTTTATAGTTAGTTTCTGCTTTGTGATTTTCTGAGAAAATACCATATTAGCTGATCTTGTACAACTCCAAACATTGCTTATTAGAGCTTAAAATATTCGAAAGGACTTACGCTATAACTTCTGAGATTTTGTCGTTGTCGCCCTAAATTGTAATTGCAGACACGCACTCCAGAGGTGAATGGCTCAATCAGACATAAGAGAATTTCGCGATGGGGTGATGATGACAGTGATTCAGGTACTTGAAATTACAATTATAGTTTATCCAATACTATAAGACTTCTAACAGATTTTTTTCTTCAGAAGAGCGCTACTCAAGGCACAGTTTTACAGCGTTGAGCAAGAGATTTCTTGACATGGAAGATCAACCGAGTGGTGGAGATCCATTCCCTAGGTAAGTTTCGTCTGTGTTATATGTCTGAGTGGCATATTACTATAATCTGCAACTCCTCAGATACCGTCTAAATTTTGACGACGATACTCCTTCATCATCTAGCGAAAAGAATGGAATGGTAGTCGCTACTCAAATTTCTGCCAGCACACCGTAATTCATTTTTTGATTTGGTTTCTGAAAGATTGTAAAACTAATTTTTTCCTCAGAGTTTCTGCTTACTCGAAATCGCGCCGCAGCGGTTCGCACGCGTTTACCTCTGATTTTCCCAAATATCATCACCATCCAGCTGATGATTGGTCTCCAGTAAGCAGGAGATACATGGATGACTCAGATAATGACTCGATA